TTGGGGATATGTGGAGTAGGGGATATGTGGATTTGGGGATATGTGGACTTTGGTATATGTGGAATTGGGGATATGTGGATTTGGGGATATGTGGAGTTGTGGATATGTGGATTTTGGGATATGTGAATTTGAGACATGTGGATTTGATATGTGAGGATTTGTGAAATGTAAATTTGGAGTGTGTGGATTCAAAAACTTGTAACACACTTGTTACCCTTGGAATATGAAGATTAAGGTACACATTTGTGACTCTAATGATTTACGAACCTACTTAAAAATTTAAAAACTGAATATCCATAACTATGTAAGTACAAAAATTGGAAAACTGCCAAATGTGCATACGTGTCACATTGCATGAGAGTGTACAAGAAGTTGATACGTCGAAACTTTCACCCTCTGGACGTACTCTTTGTCCTTTACTGGACAGACGAGTGATTTCCGTTGGACTGTTGGTGAATTCGATGGAACTTTCAGGAAATTACCTCGTAACAATGACACGAAGCGTTTGAAGCTGCGAACTTTATTCCGTTCGAATAACATAGGTCACGGCTTTTTAGATGATTACATTTTTCGATAGATACATTGTTTTAACTTGACAATTTACGTTGGTAATTTTACTTAAAAATGAAAATCAGAATGATGGAACGTGTGTACTACTTATGACACCAATCGTAGTTAACAAAGAAATCATTAATTCCGGTGTATCTTCACAGCTAATAAGGCCTTTGTTTTTACAGGCCAAAAGATATCAAAGACACCTTTCATCGAAATTGAATAATCAGAGCACACGTCGAGTTCCCGCTAATTATTCGTTGATTGCCAACTAATTCAGCTTTATTTCACGAGCTGGCACAGTCTCAAAGCATAATTAATGTTCTACGCGTTTGCACGAGCTCTTATAATAATATCATACCGGGCGGACGAATATTTACGCTGCTCTCGACCCGATCGTGCTTAGACTGTATACTTTCCCTAGAAACCAAATGTCGTTGTCTCGTAGTGTAATTTTATGCGTTTACCTCGCTACAGTTTCAGTGAAATAGCTCTATCAAATATTGACTGTATCAATATATCAATTTGCTGGAGAAAATTTAAAAGGTATTTGGATTGCGAGAAATCTCACCGATATTTCGGACAGAAACATGTCTCAAATCTATAGGTTCTCGTATGTGAATGTCACATACGATCATATGTATGACCTCACATGTCCCAAATCCTCACATACCAAATTTACATATCCTCAAATTATATATCCCAAAGTCCACATATCCAAAATTCGACATATCCCCAACTTCACATGTTCCCAAATCCACATATCCCCAAATTCACATGTCCCCAATTCCACACATCCCCAACTCCACATGTCCCAAATCCTCACATACCAAATCTACATATCCCCAATTCCACATACACCCAACTCCACATATCTCCAAATTCACATATCACCAATTCCACACATCCCCAACTCCATACATCCCAACATCCACATATCCCAAAGTCCACATATCCCTAACTCCACATTTCCCAAATCCTCACATACTAAATCCACATATCCCCAATTCCACATATCCCCAAATTCTCATATCCCCAATTCCACACATCCCCAACTCCATACATCCCAACATCCACATATCCCAAAGTCCACATATCCCCAAAGTCCACATATCCCAAAACTCCATACATCCCAACATCCACATATCCCAAAGTCCACATATCCCTAACTCCACATTTCCCAAATCCTCACATACTAAATCCACATATCCCCAATTCCACATATCCCCAAATTCTCATATCCCCAATTCCACACATCCCCAACTCCACATGTCCCAAATCCTCACATACCAAATCCACATATCCCCAATTCCACATATACCCAACTCCACACATCCCCAATTCCACACATCCCCAACTCCATACATCCCAACATCCACATATCCCAAAGTCCACATATCCCCAAAGTCCACATATCCCAAAGTCCACATAT